GATGAAAATATTACTGACACAACACCGGGATACCTTAAATATCAATATTTAAACCACGAAGAATACACAGAATGTCAATGTGAGTAAGATATCTATCTACTTATATCATTCTTTCTTTTTTTTTTTTTTATATTTCTTTCCTTTTTAAAATTTACCAAAAAACGATGATAAAATTAAACGAACCTCTATTTCTTTTTTTTTTTCCTTTTTCGATAACGCCAAGTCATCGCTCATAAATATTTGCTTTTATTTAAATTTAAAATATATATATATATATATATATATATATATATATATATATATATGTATATATATATTGCTTTCTGTTCGTTTTGCATTCCTTGTCTTTATTTCTTTTTTATTTTTCATTTTGACAAAAGGTTATCCTAAACAAACAAAAAGATAAAAATGAATTAGGATATACATGTATACGAAAAAAAATAATTTATTTATATTACAGCCCCGTGTTTAATACGTTATTGCATATTTTTAAAACGATGACTATGTATATGTTTTTAGGAATATTCGATGTCACATAAAAAAAATTTCACATCGATTTTGACTGTCGAATGAATCAATGGCCAATGGATGGACGATTATTGTCAGGAAGAAACGAGAAGAAACGAGAAGAAATAAATCTTGAATTTTCTGAGTACGAATAATTATGAATTTAGATATAATCATTGAAAAAATTCTGTACCTACGGCATTGGAGACATTTTAGGCCTATTGGAGCATTTTACGTTTCAATGTAAATACCATCAATATGTAAAAATCAATTTTCATTATTGTAATTAAAATTACAATTTAAATAAATCTCGATTGTAAATTTATTTATTCAAAAAGAAAAAAAAGAAAAGAAAAAGAAGAAAATTCAAAAAAATTAAAAAAATTACTTTCGAAAGAACAAGCGTGCTAAAAAATTCTATTCGTAGGGGGTTACGCAATATTATTTCTTTTTGTTCATTTTTCCTTCTCTTTTTTTTTTTCCTTTTTCTTTTCTTTTTTTTTTTTTGAACGAAACGAAGAAACGCTCCTCGTTTGGTCGCAAAAAAAAAGGAAAAAAAAAAGTATGAAATGCGACTAAAATGGTGTGATTTACGAGCGTACGAGGACTCTAAAGAGTGGTTAATCTTTTTAAGAGGCTCGCGAGGTGTCAGAGTCCTGCTTATCTAGTGTAACGAGAGCCTAGAGTACGATCACCGCGTACGAACAATATAGCTCTCTTATCTTTACTCACTCCTGCCGTTATACCGAAGCTACGTTATTCTCGAACGAGTTTACCAAAGATAGGATTTCGTCGGCATTCTACGATGAGCGAAGATAAACCGGTAATTCGCTTTCTTTCTTTTCTTTCTTTTCTTCCTTTTTTATATTTATATTTAAACGCGAGATTCGTTCCAAAGGAAAAAAAAAAAAAACAAAAAAAAAAAACAAAAAAAAAAAGAAAGAAAAAAGGAAAAAAGGAAAGGAAGAACAAAATAAACGAAAAAAGAAAAGAAAATAAAACAGAAAGTTAATATCGTGGGCCGTTCTCTCGATCGTAATCTTTATCATTCAAGAAAAGAAAAGAAAGGAAAAAGAAAAAAAAAAAAAATACAAAAACAGTTTTAACGAGATAACACATTGATATCGAGATATCGATATAGATATATATTTGAATACAAAAGTATTTTGAAAAAAGAATAGAAAATATATCGGACTAGTTTGCCTTAGGACAAATTACCATAGTTTTTCGTTTAATTTTTTCTTGTTTTTTTTTCTTCTTCTTCTTCTTCTTATTGAAATTGTAGCCTTGAACCACCGTACCACTTGTATCTTTATTACTATCCTAAATGCATATAACCTACGCTTAGAAATTACACGTTACACGAAAGAAACTAACAACATACGTTTCTTTACAAAGTATCGAGGTTAACAATTTTTCATCTAAGGAAAATTATCTCTTTTTTTTCCTTTTTTTTTTTTTCTTTTTTTCTTTTTTCTTTTCCTTCCCTTTTTCTTACCAGCAGGTGCAACGATCTAACTAATACGTAGAAAATACTTCTCCACAGTTGCATTAAGGTCGCGTAATCCAGAGAGAAAGAGAGAGAGAGAGAGAGAGAGAGAGAGAGAGAGGGAAAGCACTTTGTTTTAACTCTACTCGCTGATATCGAGTCGGAAGGAGATTTCGACAATGTTCATTCAGAGAGAATACATTAAAACTTTTCTCATCTTTAGTTAATCTTGAAAAATGGACACTTTTCAAGGTAAGTAAGTTCAAAGAAAGGGGAGTGAGAGAGAGAGAGAGAGAGAGAGGAGAATAACGTATTCGTATATATACGATATTCCTTGGTATCTATAGTGAATCTTGCGAGAAGAGTAATTTAAACCTAAAGAAAGTCAAGTCAATTTCATATCAACTTTCACGTCCACAATGTTCCGTTCTGATCTTGTTTGATCTGTTCTGCTCTATTCTGTTCTGTTCTGTTCTGTTCTGTTCTGTTCTGTTCTGTTCTGTT